TATTTGAAGATGCATGTACAAAGACAAAACTTTAGTTACATTCACAAATAGCTTTAATCATTATATTTAACATAGCAAACATTTGACATTATTGTGAATAAAAAGGAATATGGTGTAACACAACACTATAAACAGTTACAATTGTTATTATAAACAACTACAATTATTATTATAAACTCTGGTACTTTTGTATTTCACAATAAACAAATTAACTAAGAAAGGATTTCAATGACACAGTCCAACTCTACATGTACAGTGTATGCATATTTACTGAAATTACTTGTGTGGGTGACATGTTTGCTTTGCTAACAGAAAGTTAAAAGACCAACAATCTCTGGTTTATATGTACAAATGTAAACATAATGGACATCATGTAGTACAAAAATAAAATCAACACCGAACATTAAATTATGGAATATTGACATTTTAAACACTTGTGAGAAGTGTCATGAAACCTTAGAGACAGCTTCTTCATTTCAACCCTTTAATATTAACATTTTTACTGAAAACATAATTTGTAACACGGTAGCATTACTAAGTAGGATTCACTCCATTTCAAAATGGCTGCCACGACTTTTGCAGCCTTGCTATATAATTATTGTATTCTCTCCCATTCATCCATTTTTCCTTCACCTCTCACCTCATACGAGTTACCTTAGAAGGGAATATCAATTGGTGTTGTTGAATTTAAGCTACACAAACTCACTCACTGTTCGTACATGTACCGGTACATGTACATGTACATACATGTATGCATGCATGACATTGTTGACTTATATGGGTGGCATGTTTGACTTGCTATTAGAGAGTGGCAAGATCAACAATCCCACTACATTATTAATTGTGTATGCATGTACAGTACATGTACATTATGTACACATACATTGTACATCTACAGTAATAACAATAAAGAAAATTGTTTGTGTAAAATCTACAAGTATCACAATTGCAACTAAAAAACATAATTATTATTAAAAAATCAACACAAACAAGAACATGAAAAATTAAAAAAAAACAAGATTGAGTAGGATTCCGAACGACCAACGAAAATACGAAATGAAAATTCTACTCTCGTGACACAAATTCTACTCTACATTGCAAGGCAATCTCTAATTCTTAAATAATAACATTAAAAGTACAATGTAGAGTAGAATTTGCATCACGAGAGTAGGATTTTTATTTCGTATTTTTGTTGGTTGTTCGGAATCCTACTCAATCTTGTTTTTTTAAATTTAGTACATGGTCTCGGGCCAAATTTTACCAAAAATGAAAAGGTGAGAATTTTCAATTTTTATTACATTTTCTGATGCATATACATGTACTTATGCAGCGTAGAAAGTTTGCGCTGATTCCGGTCAAGATTAAATTTTTTACGAATTTTTAAAGTTTTTAAAAAATTTGCTCAAAATCCCTGTACAAAAATTGAAAAAAAAGATTGAGTAGGATTTAGTGTGTCAATTCATCAAAAAGTAATGGAAACAAGGACAAGTAGGATTCCAAATGACCAATTATTCCAAACAACAGATTATTCCGAACGACTGACTATACCCATACAAACAAAAATACAAAATGAAAATCCTACTCTCATGACGCGAATTCTACTATACATTGTACTTTTGATGTAATTATGTACTATAAGAAAATGCATATCACCTTATAATGTACATGTATAGTAGAATTTATGTCACGAGAGTACTAGGATTTTCATTTCGTATTTTTGTTTGTATGCATGGGTATAGTCAGTCATTCAGAATAATCAGTCATTTGGAATAATTGGTCATTTGGAATCCTATTGTCTTTGTTTCCATTACTTTTTTGACAAATTGACACACTAAATCCTACTCAATTTTTTTGTTGATTTTTTATATATAATTTGCTGTTATTAGGTTCAGCCAATCTATAAACAACCAGTAAAATGTTAGCTGGTTGCTTCAGAACAAAAAGAATTATTAATTATTAATTATAATTTTGTCATGTACATTATAGTCTACCAATATGTACTGTGCATGTAGAACAAAATTGATTATGATCAAGTAAAATTAATTATCATTGTGGGTATGTAGTTTGAAGGTACAAATCAACCACATCGTATATAGAAGTATACTGCTCCTGTAAATTTATAAATTAGCTAATACACAACCAGATATGCATGTAGTTTTACCAGTGTAGTGATAGCTCCTGGTTTACTCCTTCTGAGAGCTTTAGTCACTTGAAACACATCCACTACACCTTCTGCATTACACTGTTCTAGAGCAATACTCACTGAACAATAGACTCCTGAACGACTCACTGTATCACTACATAATACAATAATTATTATTTTTAATATCATTTCCTTTCTTACCTACAATGTACCACTACTGGCCCTTTCTTTCCACTTTTTTGCTTCTCTCTCACTTCATCAATTATTTTTAGGATTGTGCTTGGCTCTCTAACAACTCCATCTTGAGGCCAATCTGTCACTTGTAATTGTAATACACTTCTGCTCTCTTTATCAATGGAAACTTTGAGTTTTCTTTCTATGTAACCGCTTGCATTTGTCTCACTACTAACTTTCACAACAAACTCATCGTATGTCATTGAATCAATCCAATATTGATAGCAGCAATCCTACAAAGCTTGTAATAGATTCTTGTTCCTTTATTGAACTAATATTATACTTCTTCTCCACATAGCATGATAATAACAGACACTTTACAATCTACTATCATTTTCCAAAAGTCCCTCACAGTGTTCTCCATTGGACTTTGAGCTAAAATGAATGCATTCTTCCCCCTATAACTCTAAGAATGGGTGAGTACAGTACATACATACATGATGGTTGGTACTAACATTGAGGTATGATGCATTTATGTAACCATCAGTCTCTTTAAGTGCTACAATAAACTTGTCAGCTAAGAGTAAATCATGATTATGGTTATTATATTAATTGTCATGCTCTCACGAGGTAAGTAATTATTTGATCTGTTCTTGCTAGCATGAGCTTTGGCAGATTTACAGTCTACATCATTAGGATCCGGAGTCAATTGATATAATAAATTATATTGTGCCTCCAATTTTGTACTATTAGTCTTTCGATTATTCTTTTTTAGTCTCTCTACTGCCAGGCTGTAGTTCTCAATTGGTATCTCGGTCTTTCCACAAATGATTTCCTCTAGCAAAGCATCATGAAGAAACAAATATTGATCCTAGACAGGTATTATGATAATTGAAATGTGACTGTATAAAAAATATTGTCCTTACTAGTGACTGAACCATTTTCATTCTCTGTTGTCTGAGTCTATTAACAATACCAGCAATATCTACTACTTTCTCTTTTTTAGCTTGTTCCAGGGCTATGTCCACAGCAATGAATACACCAGTACGGCCTACACCAGCACTACAGTGGACCAGAATGGTGCCTTTGGAAAGAGACCAATTGTTTATGACTCTTCTGTAGAGGGACATGAAGGATGTAGCATAGTCAGGTACTCCTTGATCAGGCCATGAGGTTAATTGATACTGAATCAGTGTATGACTATCACTAGATTCATCTTGTATCTGTGTAAGCATAAAATGATAATTAACAATTAATTTTCACTTACTGTTATACTAAGTTTGCGGATAAATAAATCAGGATAAGTTTGTGTATTTTGTAAGATTACATTGAATGGTCCAAATTCCTTTACTTCAGATGTTGAGTTAGGCCAGTATTGTCTGCATTTGCTTTTTCCTCCTTCCTTCAGTTTGGTTAACATCACAATAGAGACTGGCCTTTCCTGCCAAATAAGCCGCCAGAAATCAACTAATGTGTCCTTCATTGGGCCTTTGTACAAGTAAGTATATGAAGCAATATATCAGTTAAGAATCTTTCTAAAATTTACCTTGTGTGGTAATAAACTTCTTACTACTACTGTATCCCTACAGTAAATCACAACAAAGTAATTTAGTATAAAAGTTAAAACTCACATCAACAAAATTAGCATTAATATATTCTGTTTGACACTCCAAGTGAGAAAGAGGAGTCAAAATTATCCTGTTGTCATCATCTGATGAATAAATTCATTTAATATACATATACATACATGTACATGTACGTACAAACAGTGATGTTTTTCAATCTGTTCAAAGCTTTATTTTCATTGCTTTTTCCAACATCACATGGCTTTTCTTCATCATAAAGATTCTAAAAATTACATGTACATGTACATGTAATATTCAACAAAACATTTTACTTTGAACTGCTCTTCAAATGCATTGCTATCATAACAAGTTGCTATGTGTGCAGCCAGGTCATCCAGTGATATGGGTAGAGTAAGAGGGATTTGTGGAACAAAGCTGGCAATAGTAACATAGGATATAACACTCTCTAATTCAGTTTCATTAACTAGTGTAGTTGATGCTCGATTTTCTAAATAAACAAAATTTAAATATACATGTATTAAATTATAATGTCAGTAACTTTACCTTGAATTTCTGATAAAGAGCCTTTAATATGATGCTTTCTAGGTTTTGATAATTTTCTCCTTTTGATTGTATACATGATGTGCATAATAATTATAAATGCATTCTATAAACATGTACTTTAATAAAATGGCCACTATCAATAGCACTAAAATTATTATTATGAATCCAGAAGCTGCCAATGAAGCTCCAAACGCATTCTCTGCAAAATAGTAATGAGAATTACATGTAATACAATACAAGTAAAAGAACATACCATCAGACTTAATATTTCCTGCTGCTTTCCCTGGTCCAGATTCTGTAAGGAAATGAATGTTGAAATTACCATGAAAAAAATAATTATTTATACCTGGAGCTTGATGTGGCAGAGTCTCACTAGTAATAACTGTCCATTTTCCACATCCATTAGTAGTGTATGCACGTACACCAAAAATATAACAGGAAGTGTGCTTCAGACCAGTAATGTTAGCTAGTGTACTACTACTGGACACATTATACTGATTCAATGATTGATTATAGATGTCATCATCATTTAAAGTTGAACAGTTATCAGACAGATAACCTATTTCATATGTGATAATGGGATAGTCTTGTGGAATGAAACTGGGTACACTCCATGAAATAACAGACCATGTAGAGCCCATGATGCTTGATAGTGATCCAACTGGACCAGGTACTGAATGAAGACAGTTTTAATGGACAAAAATGGTACACAAAATTACTTACTTATTCCAATCTCTACTACAATAGGATCACTGAAGGGACCTCTTCCAACAGAATTGACAGCAGCTACACTGATGTTATAATCAGTACCAAATACTAGATCATTCAATATGATACATTTCTCAAAACTGGTGAGGTTATAATCAATGCTACTGTTACTGATCAACACTGTATAGCTCATAATTAGACCATTGTGTTTAGAGCAATTGGGGTCATTCCAAGTGAGATTATTCATAGGCTTTATTAAAGTCAAAGAATCAGGCACACCAGTAGGAACTATGAATAAATAAAATACAAATTTAGACATTATTGAATTTTGTACACACTTGATGACATTGTTTCCATTATCATAGAAACAGGGTTAGATCCTCCTAGTACATTACCAGCTATCACAGTGATTGTATAATTCACTCCACTGTGTAGACCTGTTAATGTATAACTGTATGTTGTAGTGGACTGATGAGGAATCACTGAGATAGTCCCATTTCCTAATGATAACTCAGGACAAGATGGAATATAGTAGACTGTGTAATATGTTACATAGTTGCCACTACTGGGAATAGTCCAGCTCAATGTAATATCAGTGGTTGAGACACTTGATACTGAGAGACTAGTTACTGGACTAGGAACTAGAGTGGATTTTATGTGTATAATGACTTATTGCAATAACTTACCATCAAATTTTAATGTAGTAACTGTATTATTGAATGAAGTGATGTTTTCATAAGAGTATACCCTGATGGTGTACGTACTTCTTGGTGAAAGATCTGTTAGCATAATTTCATGTTCTCTAGTTGATGCTACCTTGCTTCTTACGCCACCAGTATAATTATACTCAATTACATATTGATCATTCATTGATGAATTGGTCCATTTTAATTTAATGCTAGTAGCATTTAATATGAACCCTCTCACATTGCTTGGAGGACTTTTTGGTTCTAAAATAAAAATACAAAATATATTAAAGATTAAACCATAACCATACGATGTAATGTCACAGATTGAGTGTAGTTGACTTCTCCAATCATTGCTATACAGGTAACATTAACTGACTTTTCCAGTGGATCAGGATACACAAGTAGTGTGTTTGTGTATGTCAGAGCAACAATTGATGTATAAATTGAAGTTTTCTTTGTCACTCCATTGACAAGCCAATACACATCAGTTGATGGATTTATATTTGAAGGTGTGAGACAATCAATACGGGTACTAACTTGAATAATGGAAGAGACTAGCAGAACTAGAAATTGTATAAAAGTAATTCTACAGGTGAAATAAAGTAGCAAATACTTGGTAAGGTCTGTGCAGTGATTGCACTACTAGCAGGTCCCACTAGTTGCTGATAAGCTCTGACTGTGATGCTATAAGTTGTTCCTCCTCTCAGCCCATTCAGTGTGATGCTACTTCCTTTTACTTGTACTATCTGCACAGTGTCAGTGTCATTATTGACATAGACTACATATCCATCAGCATCAGACTGATCAAATATCCAATAGAGAATGATGGTGTTGGATGTCTTTGTAGCAACAGTGACAAAAGAGGGAGCAGATTTTGGAACTGAGGAGAGTTGATTTAAGCACTATAGTCATCATGCACTTAAGTACATACCTCTCACAGTGTGATATTTATTTCTTTCTACATAATCATTATTGTCTCCATAATTTAAGTAAAATCTATATTTATGATCCCCATTGCTGTTTGCTTGACTCAGTAGTTCACTAGTGATATTTTCTCCATTCCAAGTAACAGTAAGAGTATAATCATATGATCCATTACTCTGGTGTAGTAATACTCCATTACCAATGCTACAACTGTATCCAGACTGCCCACTGCAGAGATCAGCAGTTATTTCAGTACTAGCACCACCAGACTCATAGTACCAAGTAGCACTGTTTAGGAATGAATGGTCTTTATAACCAACTACATTAGCATGTAGTGTGTATGTTTGTGGAAGCATTGTTATATCTGAAGGAGTATCAACTGTAATGCTTGCAATCTCAGCCCATCCTACAATAAATATAGAGTATTAATGACAGTGCTGCAGATACTTACTGAATATATTTGCATAAATAACATTTGTAGCAGAGGCACAATCAGTTGGTAGACAACACTTGTAAAGCCCCTCTTGATTTTCTGATAGTCCAACAGGAAAATAAAGGCTGACAATTGCATAAGGTGTAGTAACATTAGTACATTGAAAGGGGTAACTGTCATCATCATTGTTACAGTCAACAGGATCATCAGGATCACCCACTCTAACCCACTGACCAGTACTTAGACTAGAGCTAGGTAGCACACATGATAGTGAGTCAGAAACTGAATTGACTTCATTCTCATTAAAATATGATCCATTCGAATAACAAGTTTCTTTGTATTCCAAGTATATACCTATAGTCCATGTAAATAATTTTACTTTAGTATTAATCAAAAATACCTTTATGCTGACATAGAAGTTTCATTGTCTCATTAGTAATAACTGTCCATTTTCCATATCCATTATCATTATATGCACGTACACCAAAAATGTAACAAGAAGTATGCTTCAGACCAGTAATTTTAGCTAGTGTACTACCACTGGACACATTATACTGATTCAATGCTTGATTATTAATGTCATCATCATTTAAAGTTGAACAGTTATCAGAAAGATAAGCTATCTCATATGTGATAATGGGATAGTCTTGTGGAATGAAACTGGGTACACTCCATGAGATAACAGACCATGTAGAGCCCATGATACTTGATAGTGATTCAACTGGACCAGGTACTAAAAATACATGTACATGTACACATAAAAGTTTCTCATGATAAATCTAAAGTTACTTATTCCAATCTCCACTGTAATAGAACTAAAGGGACCTCTTCCAACAAAATTGACAGCAGCTACACTGATGTTATACTCAGTACCAAATACTAGATCATTCAATATGGCATGTCTATTAGTACTGGTCAGGTTATAAGCAATGCTACTGTTACTGATCAACACTGTATAGCTCATGATTTGACCATTGTGTTTAGAGCAATTGGGGTCATTCCAAGTGAGATTATTCATAGGCTTTATCAAAGTCAAAGAATCAGGCACACCAGTAGGAACTATAAATAAAATACAAAATTAAAATGTTATCAGAGTTTTTTGTACATACTTGATGACATTGTTTCCATTATCATAGAAACAGGGTTAGATCCCCCTAGTACATTACCAGCTCTCACAGTGAATGTATAATTCACTCCACTGTGTAGACCTGTTAATGTATAACTGAATGTTGTAGTGGACTGATGAGGAGTCACTGAGACTGTCTTATTTCCTGATGATAACTCAAGACAAGATGGAATATAGTAGACTGTGTAATATGTTACATAGTTGCCACTACTGGGAATAGTCCAACTCAATGTAATATCAGTGGTTGAGACACTTGATACTGAGAGACTAGTTACTGGACTAGGAACTAGATGTACATGTAGAATAGATTTCATTTGTAATCACTTATTGCAATAACTTACCATCAAATTTTAATGTAGTAACTGTATTATTGAATGAAGTGATATTTACATAAGAGTATACCCTGATGGTGTATGTACTTTTTGGTGAAAGATCTGTTAGTGTAATTTCATATTCTCTGGTTGATACTACATTGCTTCTTACGCCACCAGTATAATTATACTCAATTACATATTGATCATTTATTGATGAATTGGTCCAGTTTACTTTAATGCTAGTAGCATTTAATATGAACCCTCTCACATTGCTTGGAGTACTACTAGGTTCTAAAAAATGATAATATTAAAATGCCGCAATTAAATTATAATCATACGGTCTAATATCACAGATTGACTGTAGTTGACTCCTCCAATCATTGCTATACAGGTAACATTAACTGACTCTTTCAGTGGGTCAGGATATACAAGTAGTGTGTTTGCGTATGTGATAGAATCAGTTGATGCGTACATTGAACTATTCTTCATTGCTCCATTCACAAGCCAGTTAACATCAGTTGATGGATTTATATCACTAGGTGTGAGACAATCAATACGGGTACTAACTTGAATGATGGAAGAGACTAGTAGAACTAGAAATAATAATAAAAGTATTCTACAGGTAGCAAATACTTGGTAAGGTCTGTGCAGTGATTGCACTACTAGCAGGTCCCACTAGTTGCTGATAGGCTCTGACTGTGATGCTATAAGTTGTTCCTCCTCTCAGCCCATTCAGTGTGATGCTACTTCCTTTTACTTGTACTATCTGCACAGTGTCAGTGTCATTATTGACATAGACTACATATCCATCAGCATCAGATTGATCAAATATCCAATAGAGAGTGATGGTATCAGATGTCTTTGTAGCCACAGTGACAGAAGAGGGAGCAGACTTTGAAACTGAGTAAAATTAAAGCTATCAAGGACTAAAGTATGAGCACATTTATGTACCTGTCACAGTGTGATATTTATTTCTTTCTATAACGTTATTATAATGAAGGTAAAATCGATATTTATGATCCCCATTATTGTTTGATTGACTCAATATTCCACTAGTGATATCCTCCCCATTCCAAGTAACAGTAAGAGTATAGTTATATGATCCATTATTCTGATTTATTAGTATATTACCAATGCTACAATTGTATCCAGACTGTCCACTGCAGAGACCATCAGTTATTTCAGTACTAGCACTACCAGACTCATAGTACCAAGTAGCGTCATTCAACAATGTATTATCTTTCTGACCAACTACATTAGCACGTAGTATGTATGTTTGTGGAAGAAGTGTGACATCTGAAGGAATATCAGCAATAATGCTTGTAATGTCAGCCCATCCTAAAATAAAAGCAATATTGACAATGCTTTATGCATGTACATGTACATAATAAAAATATGTACATCAGAATTGAAGTTGCCTTGGGTATTTTTCAGAAATTTGGAGTTTTTAAAAATGGTCATAACTCAAAAAATTGAAGTCGGAATTTGATCAAACTTTCTACACAGCATAAGTACATCAATATGTATCAGAAAATGTAATAAAAATTGGGGGGTGATTTTGGAGCCGACTTTTGGAAAAAACTATGGGCTATAATAGCCTTAGGTATTTTTCGGAAATTTGGAATTTTTGAAAATGGTCATAACTCAAAAAATTGAAGTTGGAATTGGATCAAATTTTCTAAACAACATAAGGACATCAATATATATATCAGAAAATTTAATAAAAATTTGGGATGATTTCAGAGTCAATTTTTTGAAAAAACCATGGGCTATAGTACAGGGAATTTTTCAGGAATTTGGTGTTTTTAAAAAATGGTCATAACTCAAAAAATTGAAGTCTGAATCCACTCAAACTTTTATGCAGCATAAGGACATCAATATATATTAGAAAATTTAATAAAAAATTGGGGTGATTTTGGAGCCAATTTTTTGAAAAAAACCATGGGCTATAGTACAGAGAATTTTTCAGAAATTTAGAGTTTTTAAAAAATGGTCATGACTTGAAAATTGAAGTTGGACTTTGCTCAAACTTTTTCCATAGCATATATAATCAGAAAATGTAATAAAATTTCACAAAAAGAAAAAAAGATAAATTTGCACTCAATTTTATATTATCAAAATAATGCTTCTCCTGTATGCTTAACTTACCAAGAACTGTAATGGAAGTATTAGCGCTAACTGATGTATTCCTGAGATACATATAACTATTAGGAGCAGTCACTTCAACATTACAAGTATACATTCCAGTGTCGTTAGCATTATCCAATGGATTGAACATTAATGTTGCATTATAATATAATGTATTGATCATATTGAGATCCACAGTAATAGTAGCATCAGATGAACCCATAGGAACATTAGTGTTATTATGAGTCCATTGATTAGTGACAGTCACTGGTATAGTAACAAATAATGGATCTAACATTATGTCACATTTGATGAAGAATGATATTCCTGCATAAAATGTATCATCATGTTCCTTTGATATAGTAACAATCACTGGTGGGACTATTAGAAAATAGAAAAGTTAACAAAAATAATAACAAAAAGTGGTGACATTGCTTTGAAAAGGGTCAATCAAACAAACTATAATTATTTCATTGATAATATCTTAGTGAAGCATTTTTGCTAACTTACATTCAACATTTAAAGTAAAGGCATCATTAGCTTCTTGGTTATCATAAGTAGCAGTGTTAGAATCATCAGTGTTATTAAAACCAGTGACATTAAACTCAGCCATACATGTGTACATCGCGCCATCTTCAAGTATTACTGGTTCCAGCATTAGAGAATAATTAGTAACTGAACCATCATTATCTGTTGTGATACTGTATGGTCTATTTAAGTTAGAGAGCGTCTCCATATCTGTCTGATTTATTTTAATGAAAGTAATTGATGGTGTTACTGCTAATCTCTCAACTGTTGTTATGGTACACGTTAGAGTTAGATTCTGGCCAAATTCAACTGAGCCAAGTGTTGTAAATTCTACTTTCAATGAAGGAAGACCTAATGGAAAAGAGAAAGTGCAGAGTGAGCATGAGGAAAGGAAAGAGAAGATATCATGAAGCTAAACGAAGTGAAGATCAATCTTACTTGCAACAGTGACGACAAAAGCAGCATTTCCAGGCTGACTTGATGAGTTGTTTGAATTGATAATCATTTGACAGGTATATGTTCCACGATCATCGTTATGACCGATATCAATAGGTTGAAACAATAGCATGCTTACAAGACTGTTACCAGTTGGAGGTGTCACTTGACGTCTTGTATCATTAGTTGGTATTACATTACCACTAGGATCAGTCCATACTACACTAGCAGTTACTGGTGTATTTACTATTGTAGTGTTTACTGTAGCTGTACAGGTTAGTAAGTAACTTGTACTCTCATATATTGGACCAGTTGGTGGATCAGCAACTATTGATACACTGGGAGGAGGTACTAAAATGGAATAATGTGTAGGTGAAATAAGTGATGCCAATTTTGAACAGTTAAATCAGTCCCTAGTAGGTTTATGTTAAGACTGACCTTGGCCTGTTATTGGATATGGAAGAAGAAAAGTGACTGCAAGTACTGATAAGAGAAATAACCAGGACACCATAGTCTTAATCTTAAGCTTGTACACTTCAATTTCAAGCAGATTTAATGATCTGCTTGTTGAAAATGTCTGTGTAAAAGAAAGGAATCTGTATAATAAAAGTAACAGTAATTAGACAGTCAAAAGTACCTGTTAATGTTATAGTAACGCGTAGCGTTACTAAGTAGCGCCCGGTCATTATGGCGCCACACTTTGTGCCTTGATCTGGAGACTCTGTTGGTACCAATGCATGCAAATTCAAGTATATAAGATCATAGCTCATGATACTACATATCTCAGATATCTGGCTATCCCTCTAAAATGAGTATACTAAAAGGGCCAAGGCAGTTTGGCTATCTGCCATTTTGTTAATTAGCACGTAATAATACTAGCAACAATAATGAATTGTGTGATTATTAGCTCCATATTGTACCCATAACAGCACCTCTCCTGAGAATATGATCCCATCTACAACTGTCTTGGCCACAAAATTTTTATGAGTGTGCAGATACAGGAGATTTTATTTCAAAGAACTTATTTATAACTATCTAAATCAAACTATTATGCATTCAGTCATGGCATGCATTCAGTCATGGCATGCATGCAGTCTGTTTGTTATGATAAAACTGCTAAGTAGCTATACACACCAAATTAGAAGAGTTATTACAATGAAGTAGTATCAGTCAGCTCATATACATTTTCATCATTCTCTTTTTCATGAAGACTAGCAGACTCTAACCAACAGAATAAAGTATGATTGATAGGTAACAACAAACAGATTGAATTAATGTAATACCTGTAACAATAGGCTCAGTAGTAGTATTTTCATATGTTGTACTACTAGTGTCAGCAGCACTTTCTCTTGCAACAAGCAGATCAGGTTCATCTAATTGTTCATAAACCTGATCATCTCCCATTCTTTCATAGACTCCATCTTCATTTCTATATTGACACATCCAAGGAACACTTGCACAATAGTATTATTACTCACTCTGTGGCTGTATTCTTGACAATATCAATCATACCATATCCTGCATTAGGTGTTACATCAATGTCATCAGTTTTACTACTATTATAAGTTAAGGCATACACTAATAATGGTTTAATTTCTTTACCTTATATTATAATTCTTTGATCTTTTCCTATAAATTATTACAAAAATGATACTAACAATGATCAACACCAAAGCAACTATAATCAAAACTGAAACTGTTGCTGATATCACCGAAATAGTAGAATCAGCACTAGTAGCAGTAGTAGCATTGTTTGATGGAGATACTGTATATGGTATCTTTGATGTGAATGTAGAATCAGTACTGGTAGTAGTAGTACCAGTATTGTTTGATGGAGATACTGCATAAACAATTAAAATAGCAATGTCATTTTGAAAATGTTTACTAACCTACAATCACAGCTGGTCCTTCAATTAGTCCTACATCACTCAATAGCAATACACTAATACTCACAGTATAAGCTAACTGTGGTTCAGTATCAGTTATATTAACTGATGTGGTATCATAAGCTACTGATATAGTTCTTGTATTAGTTTGTCTTAATGTACTGCTAGTGCTACCATCATCAGGAGTTAATCTGATACTGTATACAAAGAATCCTTTAGCTTCTTCTAGTGTCACTGGATCCCATGATAACACTATTGTATCTCCTATTCTCATTGCTTGTACATTAGAAAGTGATACTGTAACACTACCTATACATAAAATGACATATAAATTCATTCATCAACATTATCATTATATTTTACTATCGGTTTTAGTGAACACAATAGCAGTTTCTGATTTTCTCTCACCAACTTGATTGGCTGCTACAACTGATACATAATAAGGTACTCCTGGTTCTGGTAGAGTGGTAATAAATTATAATAATAATTTTTACTCTTATACTTACTCAATCCACCATAAATTAATGCGTATAATGCTTTATCAATCATGAATGAAGAATATCTTTCACTAGTAATAGCATCAGTAGCTATTCTAATAATAAAACCAGTGATTTCTCCATTAGGATGAGATGGTGGACTCCATGTTATATTGATAGTAGTTTCATTAAGAACTGGTACAGTATAAGCTACTGTTAAACTATTAATGACAACTGGAGACACTACCAGATGAGGTGAACTAGGAACTGTGTATTGTATTTTAATAAATGAATCATAATAATATACTTACTGTCTGGTAGTGTTCTTCCTCCAGTAGTAGCCACTGGTCCAGCTCCAATGATTGTACTAGCACTAACACTAGCAGTGTAATTCTGATATGGACTGAAACCATCAACTAATTGTGTGACTGTAGTTTGATTGACAGATACAAGTATTGTATAGTTATGCATTGTCAGCACATCTTGATTGATGACATTCAGTGAATAGTTGATAATTATTCCATTAGGAGTAGCTGGCTTAGTCCATGTAAAAGTAACTGCAGTTTTGTTGGGTATTGAAGTGAAATTTTGAGGAGTGTCAATTGGTCCTATAGTAGAATACAATCTAAGGCAAATAATTTTATGACTGTTTGATGAATAATGAATACATGTCCATGATAATTTAATGTACATTAATGCACATGAACAACAATATGCATATGTACTTACTATCTTGTGCTGTTTTTAAAGTACACTGGGTTGAAGGTCCTTCTCCTATTACATTAATAAATGACAGAGAACAAGTGTAACCAGTAAAAGGCATAACATCAGTAATAGTGAACATTGTATTTGTTGAAGTTTGTGTTGGGCTCAATCCATTGACTGATACACTATTAGTATTCATACATGTTAAATTATAACCAACTGGTGCTCCATTTTGATCTATTAGTACTGGTGCAGTCCAAGTAATTGTAATAGAAAGAGGTAGAAAAGTTGTATTAATACAATTCATTGGATAACCTACTGGTACTATAAAGATAATGAAAAATTAGGGAGAGTGTGTGTGTAGATATAGAAGATCAAACAATATTATCTAAAAGTCTTCTGACTTACATGCCATCAGTGTAGTAAAATTCATCACTCCAGTGTGAGTTGTACCTAAACAGTTGCTAGAATTAACTGTAAATTGATAAACATTGTCTTCTTCAAGACCAGTCAACATTATCATGATAGGTTTATCAACAAAACTAGAACTCATCCTAGTTAGTGAAACTGTTTTTGTTGCCTGAAATAGTTGTCCAGTGTAACTGATGCTATAATTTTCATTTGCATAAGAAGTTTTTGGTATTATAAATGATATATTAGCACTTGTTGTTCCAGGAATAGTTGTTACAGATGCAGCTGCAAAGGGTGGAATAGTACCTGTATAAAAAATTAAAAAAATAAATCCAAAGGCTATAAACACATTATGCTCATCAAGAATGTATTTTAAATAAATAAAATAAAAGTTTTGTAGATATAACGTTGAGGTATTCTATAATGCAGACAATTCCTAATTAAACTTACAGCTAGTATTCAATGTAAACACATCACTAGCCTCTTGATAGTCATAAGTAGCAGTGCTAGGATCATTGGTATTATTAAAACCAGTTACATTAAACTCAGCCATACATGTATACATTCCAGCATCTTCAAACCTCACTGGATCCAGTATTAGAGTATAGTTAATAACTGGACCAATATCATCCGTTGTGATACTGTATGGTCTATTTAAGTTAGAGAGCATTTCCATATCTGTATCATTCATTTTAATCAAAGTAATCAATGGTGTTACTACTAATCTCTCAACTGTTGTTATGGTACATGTTATAGTTAGACTCTGACCAACTTCAACTGAACCAACTGATGAAAAATCTACTGCCATTGGAGGAAGACCTAACAAAAAATAATATGATCAATAAGTAAAAAACAATAAAATTAAATAGAAAAGAGAAGAGAGAATAAGAGAAGAGAGAAGTATTTTTTGTAAATTACTTTCAACAGTAACAGGAAGGATAGCATCAGTAGGTTGACTTGATGCTATTAATGAGTTACCAGAATTGATGATCATTTGACAGGTATATGTTCCTCCATCATTATTATGACCAGTATCAATAGGTTGAAACAATAGCATGCTTACAAGACTGTTACCAGTTGGAGGTATCACTTGACGTCTTGCTTCATTAGTTGGTATTACATTACCACTAGGATCAGTCCATACTACACTAGCAGTTACTGGTGTATCCACTATTGTAGTGTTTACTGTAGCTGTACAGGTTAGTAAGTAACTTGTACTCTCATATATTGGACCAGTTGGAGGATCAGCAACTATTGATACACTGGGAGGAGGTACTATTAAGGAGAATATTACTTTAAATATTCAAAATATTGATTAAAACTGACTTTGAACAGTTAAATCTCTGTTAGTACGATCTACAATACCAAATACTGTAATTGATGCTTGACAGTAATATTGTCTAGCATCAGTTGTCTTCACTGGATCAAGTGTAAGTACACTGGTGAATATATTTCCATTTCTAACAACAGGTACTAGTGTAGCATCATTGTTTTCACTAGTCACATCTTGAGATGCTTCTAAATCATAAGTCCATCTGACACTAGTAAGATTCTCAACAAAATTAGGAGGTACAACTATAACACAAGATAAATTGAATACATCACCAGCAACAGGAACAGAAGGAATATTGATACTTATATCAACATGATTAATATCAAACCCTATCAAAATAAAATTAGAAATAATAATATGTTTTAATTCACTTACTTGCTACAGTTAATGTAACTGCACTGCTATTATCATTCCCTGCTATTATAAAAGGAGTATTAGGAGTCACACTAACTGAACAATTATAACTAGCACCATTATCAACTTCATCTCTTAAACTATTAATACGTAACACACCAGTGTACTGATTATTAGTCATAACTGGAGGACTGATAGTAAAATCACTTCCATTGGTCAGTACAGTGTTATTTCTCCTCCAACTCATAGTAACACTAACACTAGTATCAATATATTGACTGATGTCAGCTATACACATAACATCAAGAAACTGTCCTTCTGCTAGTTCTCCATTTACTAAATGTCCAGTAGCAT